CATTTTACCCTTTTTTAGCGTTTTCTAGATGTTTCAGTTGTTTCGCCGCTAAAACGATCGGTAAAAATTGTTTTTGAAGTGTCCATTACTTGTTTTCCCACTCAATTTTTCCTGCTGAAGCCGAATATGGCCTCAGATTTTGCCTAGAAATTACACTTTTTTCGAAAAATGGATTATTCTGGAAAAAAGTTTTTTTTTTCAATGTAAAATCCCATATAAAAAAGATGGCTCTGTCGGCACGGGTTCATATTATCCGACTTGGCTGAAACTTGGCAAAGAGTGTTTTTTAATCAAATGGAACAGTGGGGGGTAAGACCAAAAAAATTCCGACATTGCCAAATTTGGGCCACCCTTTCGGGTTAGTCATTCTAGGGGTAGGTAGACATTAAAAAAATTGCTGTGCCTAAAAAAAATAAATTTTTTTGAAATATTTTTTTCGGGAAATATGTTCTTATGGGTTTTTGTAGAGCTATTTGTGAAGGACAGACTTCTCGGATAAATACAACTGACGTGGCGTGAAAGTTAAGAAGCCGCCGGCTGGGCCTCATAGACCCGGTTCGTCATCTAAGGGTTATTTGTAACGTTTTGGCGAGGTCCCTCGTCAATTTTTAAATTCATCATTTTATTTTTTCGTATAAGCCGCACCCTACGGGTGGCACGCGAGCATACACTCCGTGCGCTTCAATAAGAGCGCGCCATGCAAAATTGGAACGGTCATAACTTTTGAACCATTTGTTTCCCCAAGTTGAACTATAGCTCGTTTTAAAGCTTGAATCAAGGGCTTTCAGTTAAATTAGTTTTTTGATGATTCCAGCATTCCCCAATAAGGAAAAATCCGACAAACTGAATTTTTTAGACTAGAAAAATCAAACAATGATTTTTTTCATGTTGAAAAATTACCAAAAACAAACTTAAATATACATAAAATGAAAGGTCTCTTCGAGAGCTTTCATTTGAGCCCCAGATCAAGTTCATCCGTTGTTTCGTTCAAAAGTTATGGTGGTCGGTGCGTTTGACCTTTGACCTTCTCCCTCACGCCCCCTGGAAGGCTACACGAGAAAGGTCACCGGATTTGGGCCTCTCCAATGATCTGTTCTGATTCCAGGAAGTATGGATGTAGAATCTCTTGCGGCCATTTCATATGGCAAATGGGACAGCCACTTTGCACTTAGGCCCTTTTGTTCCCGTGAGGTTGGTTAAAATTAAAATTTTAGAATTTTTCTAAAAGTATGTTAATTTTTAAACCAAAGAGAAAATTTTTAGAGGTAGCCCTTTTCGGATTTCAAAAATCCCAAAAATAAGACGAACCCTACCCAAAAGCTGACGAACTGTAAAGGTAGTCTAAGGTAACAAGCGACAGCCGCCCCTCTTACTGCTCCAACTCAGACCTGCTGTTGGCACCAGTAGTCTTCCCAGTCAGTCAATATTGATAAGTAGGAGGCTATGCCCCCTAGTTGTCAATATTGATAACTAGGGGGCAATGCCCCCTAGCCGCTACGCGGCTCAACCCCCAGAGTCCGCTTTGCGTTCTCTTAGGCCCGCGTCGACAAAAGAACGACCAAGAAAAATGAAAAGATTCTCTATACCCGACTCTCATTTATCCCGTCTCCCTTTGCAGTTTGGAGCAATTGGACTAATGAGAATAGCATCGGCATTGGTTTCAAACTTCACCCCACGACTGAAACAAAACATACGGATCCATAAAGGAACATACCTTCGATTCACTTACCCTACCAACAGACAAATATTCAACATTTCCCGCTTACTCCAATTTTCCGCTAAATTTGAAATTCCCGCCATTTTTCATTGGCGGGAATTACAAATTTTGTCCCCCTTTCTAAGCTTTCTGGTCTCCTCTAATATAAAAAGCCTGGGTCCTATTTTCAAATTCTGATTACAGCGGGCTCATCTAGGGACTATCACCTGTCGATAATCGCAAAAATCATGGAAATCGGCCCAAGAGAACGCTCAAACGAGCTGTGACAAAAAATAAAAATTTACATTGTTTAAATGGGAGAATTCGCAACTGTACCACACAATATAAAAAAAAACCAGGGTCACTTCTTCAAAATCTGAATAAGGCGGGCTCAAATTGCCTGTCGATAGCCATAAAAATCATGAAAATCGGCCCGGTAGAACCCTGGAACTAAGCGTTACCAGATACGCAAATTTAGGAGGTCTCGGAGCTTATAGTATAGATATCATTGGATGACGTTCAGAGAATGAGTCACATGTGCTAAAACGCTTTCATCTCGAGGTACATGAATGGCAACTGATGGAACTGAAGTTTTCTAGTTTTTACTAATGATCCATAGTCGAAACTAATTTTAAATAAAATCACCTCAAGAATCGGAGACAAACTATTTCAGGAGGTTATAACTACCAGTCATAGTTAAAGAGTATCAACTAATTTTTTTCATGTTTTATCTCTTTTTGGATTTGGACTTCGACAGATACAACTATTAAAAAAAAATCGTGTTTTCTGATAATTTTAATTATTTTCATTTAAAGATTACACATGTATTAGTCACAAGGAGAAAAAATAGTATTTATAAAGAGGGAGAGAGAGAGAGAAAAAAAAAATGTTACATACGTTGTTAATTGAGAGGCTTGGAGGACAAGGCGCATGAGTGGTTTTGGCTATTTCAAGAAATACGTCTTTAAGTTTCAAAATTACATGAAGTCTTATGACAGAAAGCAAGTTTAAACTCACTTTTTGATGCTTTGAAGTTGGATTTTAGTAGTGAATTTTTCACAGAATACACTTCCATACCAGATTTAGTTGAGTTTATGAATATCTCATTTCTTCAAAAACCACACTTATGCGCCTTGCCCTCTAAGCCCCAGAAAAAAGCCAAAGAAAGAGCAGTGCTCTGACAGTTCCGATGATAAGGAAAAGATAAGTTACCATAGTCTTTGATTTTAAAAGCCTTACAATGGTTGCTGGGTACTTCTACCAGCTGATTTTCATGAACCTTCTGATGTCCGAGTTCTTTAAGACAGTGGACAAAAACTCAAGGCAAAGTACGAGGTTGAAAGCAATAGTTCTTCTATGAAAGCATGGTCTATGTACATTCAGTTACCAATAAATAATAATACTTGGTGGCTCAGTCTCCGAAAGTTTCATGCATCAAATGCTGACAGCAACACCTTGAACAATGGTAGTAGAAAAATCTTATAAACTATTGACAAGTTATTAAATCGACTATTTTTGTTCTTTTTCTGCTTTTCTTAATCAGACAAGAGACTAGATTCATGACGTCTTTCACTGGTTGACGAAATGTGAAAAATTTGGTGATTCATAACTCAATGTTGAGCTGCTGGGAGTTTCACAGGAGAGAATGACAAAGGCCGAAAAACATGACTGATTACTTCCTTTAACGAGAACTGGAGTCCAGTCACAAAAAAATGATAAGTAATAATATCAACTATTAAACCTTTTCAACAATCAGTGAATGTGTTTCATAAAACATGATATATTTCACAAGACATGGTGTGTACTATCAAGAGATATCTATGGTACTTTGTATGTATGAATATCTGGAAGTGGTATTAATTTAGTGAATATTCAAAATCAGTACATGTAAAGCTCTCAAAACAACGCTGAGATGGTAATGCAGGTGGTTACTGATATCCAGACCAAAGGAGAGCTAATTTATTTTTCAAGTCTCTGAAAGGTATATGAATATTTGCTATCTTGATACAGAGGCTTCACATACTTGAGATTTGAAAAATTGATCATATTCCAAATAATTTTTTTATAATAATGATACAGAATACAAAAATACAAGCTTTCAAAAAATAAAAACTTTAAGGCACTGACTTAAAATATCACATATTGTTAAAATAAAAATATTATGAAATTAACATTTTAATTAGAAATCGCCCATAAAACTTACAAAGTACAAAAAATGAGTCTTATCGATATTATGCCTAAATGATAGCTGACATAAAATATGATGAAGATAAGGCACTTGGAGAAAATTAACATGCGAAAACCTGCATTAAGCCATCATTAAAAATGATACAAAAAATATTTTCAAAAGGAAATAGTAAAGAATACCAAATTTATTAAACAAGACTATCTTAGAATGATAAGGAGAAGAACCACTGAAAAAATTGCCCGAAACTGTATGAGACAATGTGGACAAATGGTGCTGGGTCCACTCCATTTTACAGGGAAATCAAAGCGGAGAAATTCCAAAAAATACAATTAGAGTCAAAAAATGTTTAACTCTTATAAGTACCATTAAGAATGAAAAAAGCTATTTGAGGAAACAGATGTGCTCCTAAATGGGGCAATTTTACTCTAAAATACTACTTGATCCGAGTTCAGACTAATATTGATTAGGAGGTTGCGCTAATGACGACGACGAGTTTATGCCGAGCAAAATGGATATAATGTTAAAGGGATTATAGGTTTTTTTACTTGTTTCACAGGGAAAATGAAAGAAATCTATATTCCTGAGTCCAGAAAACAGGACAGTTTTATAAAATTACAAAATGCCGGTCAAATATTCTCAATTTTCCATTTCTTTTGAGTTTGTCCACGTTAAACTTACTTTGATATTAAAAACTAGAGTCCCTTTCTACCCAGAGTTAAGACAACTCACTTTTGGTTGGGCTGGAAGTGGCCTAAAAAAAATCCAATTCTGATTGGTTCTCGCTCATGGAGGCCGAAACGAGTGCACCAAGATGGCGGTACCTAGAATGTGAGCAAGAATAATGGAAATATTACCTAATTGTGGTTTATCAAGAGTAAATTGTTATTTCCATCGGTCCAAAATGAAAATAGATTAAGAAATTATTCACAAACCAATCTCATTTTCTTTTTAATTGATCAATTTGATGATGTTGTTGTTTTTGTGTGACAGACATCGCAGGATATTCCTGATCCTTATCCCTCGATATCGTTCGTTAGGGTGCACTCGTTTCGGCCTCCATGGCCAGCCAAGGCCGGCTGCCAGTCAGCTGATAATCGAGTTGTCTTAACTCTGGGTATAAAGGGACTCTATTAAAAACTATAATTTTTTCAGGAAGTAGACGCAATTACATGCCGCCATTTTCAAAAAATGATGAGCTCTCCATGTTCATTTCTTGCTCCTTAGTGGTTTTTTGTAAAATATGACTGATTTACAACTTCATCCGACCACCGGGCAAAAACCCACGAGGGGATTTTTGGGGGCTTTTCGCTAACAACAGCTTTTAATGTGTGGAATTGATTGGGTCTAAATCCAGCCGCATGGTGATTTTTGTCCGGAAACAGGTCTTGTACGCCTTCATTTACTGGACTGTTATTTTAAAGATATGTGGTTTATGGAAGAGTTAGAATTTACCATGAAAAATCATAAACAGTTATGCCTAATTCTAAATATATATTCTTTGTAAATGAAATGAGTTATCATTGAGTTTCAAGACATTTTGTTTCCGCATGAAACCAATTCATAATAGCTACATTAAGAATTTAAATCGTAGGCTAAGGAACAATACAGCCTAACTGACGATTTTGGCAAAAATGAGTCAGCGATTTTGCCGCATTCTTCAGTATTAAATACGCAAGCTGCTGTTTATGGTATTTACCAATTCCCCACGGAAGGGCTGTAAAAACGCTGCGATGAATAAAAAAATTCAAATCTATCACAAAATTACCAAAATGGCGAAGTTTCTTTTCCATCCTGTAAAATCGTCAGTTTGCAGATATTGTTCCTCAGCCACCGAAGTGCAACCTAAACTTGGATGGAATAAAAAATCCTGAGAGCTCTGAAAATCGGGAATTCGTACGAACGGCCTGGCAATAGTTTTGAAATCTATGGGCTGACAATGATCCACCTGGCATCTGCACTAACGAAGCCTCTAGTCCACTGAATCAAGGTTCCACTCCTTTGCTCATGACTTTTACACAAATATTAAGAGAAACATTGAATTATAAGAAGACACCAGCCTGAGATGGAACAGGAAGTTAATTGACGAAAACGGTTGGGAATAGTTATGGTGGTAGACGCCATACTCCCGAGAAAATGGCGGAGAGATGAAATCTGGAAAAAAAATTAGAGAAAAGACTATTTGGTATTTGCTAAATAGCATAGGTAAATTATAAATTTCCAAAAACAGCACAAAAGGGAATTAATTAGTATAAACTCCCCTTGTTTGATATACGCAATGCACCTAAATGCACTTTTATTTGTAAATGAGCTTGATCGTGCCTGCATCAAAATTTCAAATGGGAGGTGATAGTAGGATACTTTAAAGCAGGTAAATAGTTGGAAGTAACAAAAATAAATAGAATGAGTTAACAAAGAAACGGAGACCTGAAAGTCACAATCACAAAAGTGCATTTTAAACTTGAAAGAAATAGTATCACCTTGTGGCTATCGCTTATGATTGGCTCCTCTATCTTGAGCAGAGCTTAATGGAGCTCTTAGGATCCAAAAATGGCAGACGCTGTAAGTAAATGTAAATCCCCTTCTTTACCAATGGCAGCATTGCCAGGTTGCAGATTTCAAAATACGTAATGAATTCAATGAAATTCCTGACGGTATAAAGAAACTGCTAGTGTGTGTATACATGTTATAGGCAACGTCTAGGACACGGGCATGGACGGGCATTGCCTGCTGGGCATCGTCTAACTTGTAACTAAATTGTGAACGATGCCCGAGGCCGCATTTTGTCGGCTCTTTCACACGGAGTGCAACAGCCATCGATGAGTTCAAACCGCACCACCGGCCAATCAGAAGCGCTAAGCCGGACTTAAGTGCAGTCGAGACCCGTCCTAAGTATATTTAAGTACGGTGGAAGGACCGACAAAATTCGGCCTCGGGGCAGGGCGTCCTACGCCGGGCACTGGAAACGCTGCCCACGAACAATGGGGCAACGTGTTTCCGCGGTCGAGTTTTCGTGAATTATCTTATCAAAAAGATGACGCGGTGTGTTGCACTGACAATGAGGCAAAAGGTGACAGGGCAGAAAGCTGAAACCTTAGTAACTCTTCCTCCGGCGATCAGTGTCATCCTTTGAATGTTCACGGGCGGTGGCTTTATTTATAGGTCCAATTTTTAAGTTATTGAAGTACAAGACAATAGAACAGCTGAGGCTCCAGAAAAACGGTTTTTTTCAGAAAAACCACCTGCAGGCAAACAGCCCCACGTTAGCAAAGCAGCCCCCCACTCACCCACCATTGATGCGAACATAGCAAGAAATCGCAAAGCCGCTCGAGAAAATTTAAAAGTCCGAGCACAAAAAATGCATCGAAAATCAGATGCGAAGTTCGCCCCTGTCTCAAAGACAGCTTTAATTCCTTTTCCTGAGGTACACCACTGCCGCACTGAATCTCGAAACATCACGGCCGTCGTCATGGCGTCGACGATGTCCGATCGCCCTTGGGAAAAGCGGACGATGCCCGGGCATTGTCGATTTTGTTTTAGGATCCCGTACATTGCCCGGCCAATTTTAGCAAGCTTTGGGCATCGTCGACGATGCCCTTGTCCTAGACATTGCCCATAACATACATACAGAGTGAGCCAGAAGTTCCAGGACGGCCGGCTAACTTTTGAACGGCTGCTCGTAGAAAAATGAAATTTTGAGAATGTTTCTAGGTCATTGTAAGCTACATTTTTGCGTATAAAAAGTTTCGGAGGTCCGCCTCCGGGCGCCTGCGCAGACCCTAAAAAAAAAAAACATTGGCCTCCGGCCAATTTATGCACGACGCAAGCGGCGCGTACCGGCGCTTGCCGGCATGTGGGGGGGCTTCGCCGCCCAATATTGGTGCGAAGATCGCACAAGACTTTCTCGCTTTTGCCGGCGCTCCGCGCCGGCATAGATACTTTTACTGAAATATTTAGGAAAATACTAATCATAAAGTTTGATTGGAATTTTGATCGCAGGATAATAATTATGAAATTTTTATTCAAACCACTGTACTTTATTGTAAATGTCTTCGATATATGTGATGAATTCATACATTCGGACTCGACTTGTCGATCTTATGAGGCATCTTCAATTAAATATGTAATTGATTAATGATGCCTCTTATTAAAGACGGCGATCCGTAAAAATCTTAGCTTTTCTACGGTTCATTAGGATCCATCAGATTCATTGGCATCATACTTCAGATACGATTATATATTATAATCTTTCCTTAAGCACGGGCAAAAGCCATCAAAAATCTACTTTAATGGGTTGAATGACTATTCGATGTTTAAATAGTCTTAAAACTCAACGGTTTTCGCTTAGCATCGCCCAAATTTTAAATTTGGCAACCGAATCAACTTGCTGGTAATGGTTCACCACCCGCCCGCCAAGAGCGCCACTTCCTTAGCGCGTATCCCCGTCATTCGAAACGAAAACAATAGATAGCGCCACCTCCTTGCTGTTCGTATCACTGTGTCTTTACACAACAACAAGAACAAACGTCAACAAACCTAAACGGGTTATAACCAATATATAACGCGCAAATCATTAAATCAACCATGTTGGTGTAGTTTTATTATATTATATTCGTGTTCAGTACCTCGTAAAAAAGGAAAAAGGAACCGCGAAAGATGGAATCTGCTGGGATTCTAAATTCATTAACAACAAACATATTAGTTTCTACTAAAGATCTAAGTGTCAGTTCTTGCGTTAGCTTCGATGATTCGCAAAGTATGTAATGTAAGTACCTAATTAGCTGTCTAATTTAGCTTGGTGTATACCTACAGAGTAATTTTGAAGATAGTTTATGATGCATTATATAATGCTTTTGAATTCCTAGGTTTCACCTGACTCAAAGCGTTTGCTGCTAATATCCTGAAACGTTCCGACTCATCTATCGGATAATAGAGCGTTTCCTATCGGCCCCTCTGCAATTATGAGATTAGTCCAAAGCTCCTATAGGATCTTAAATTAATGACTCAGGTAGTGCTTTTGAGCCAACTTTCAAAGAATTAAAGGCATTTTTTCAAAATCTACCGTCCATGAGCTCTCCGTGTGACCGAAGTGCTCTCCTCGCTATATGACGCGTAACCCTTCAATTTTTAGTTTAGTCCAAAGACCTCACAGGAACTAAAATTAATGAACCAGGTTGTGCTTTTATGCTAACTTTCGAAGAAGTAAAGGCATTTTTTCTAAAATTTACAGTCCTTGAAAATGAGCTGTTTGTGATGTCGCGGAGCAAAGTGCCCTACATTTGGGCCTCGTAATCCCTTGAATTTGGAGTTTAGTCCAAAGATCTTATAGGAACTTAAATTAATGACTCAGGTGATGTGCTTGATGCCCGCTGTTAAAGAATTAAAGGCATTGGTCAAAATTTACAGTTCTTCAAAATGAGCTTTCCGTGTGATTTTGCTGAAAATGGACCTTTAACCCAATTTGACCCTAGCCCACCCCCCCCCAAATTTTAGCGTACCCCAAAATCGTTTGACGTGCATTAGGAGACCATAGAAATGATGTTCTGTGCCAATTTTGAATGAAATCGAAGAGATAGATTCTGAGATATCGCTGTATACAGATTTGGGGGACAGCCGACGGACGAACACACATTTTTTCAAGTATGGTTATGTTGACTCCTGGGACCTTAAAACGTCTAGAAATGATGAAATTTCAACTTTTTTTTTTTTTTCTTGGAGGATGACAATACTTCCTCTCTACCCTAGGGGAGCGAGAAAGTAAAAATCAAATTGTAACCCCCATTTTGAGCTCGCCCACTCGGGAGAGCTCTCTGCAATCAAAGACTTTTAGCATTACCAGTGTCCGTGGCGACAAATGGATGGTTCTCGTTGCCGTCGGAGGAACGGCCAAAATCCAGTTGTTTTCAACAACTAAAAGTTGAATTTGGTCTTTTTTCGCAGGTTACAGTTTTCCCTTTTCGAGCATTTCCGTTCCTTAATTCAACTGAGGAGTAATTGTTCCTCATTTGCTGCACTAGAGAGCAGCACTTTCCGGTGGGAGAGCATACCATGTTCCTATGGTTTCATAGCAAATAACCTAATTGTATGTTATCATCCTTTTATATTTTCAATACAGTTTTTGTGTGCAGTTGTACTTGCAATCCAATACAGGGTGATCCAAAAGTCCCTTCCACCCCCTCTAACTTTTTACCTAATGGAGATAAAGATTTGAAACTTGGGGGATATTCCTAGGTCAAAGGGAGCTACTTTTTGGCCCCCCTAAAATTTTCAGGGGGCCCCCCTTGGGGGGGGGGCAACGGCCCCCAAATTTAATTTTCAAATGGGAAGACCCCCTTGGTGATAGCTCGTACGAAAGAGCATAAAAAAGAAAACTTTTCGCGCAAACCCGAAGTCAATATCTCAAACCGTTTCAAAATGGCGGCCGGTTAAAGTTCAAAATGGCCGAAAATTCACACCGGTTGTTTGTCGATGGATTTGCGCGAAAATCGGTATGTAAGGGTATTTAGACACGAGAAAAACGAATTTGACGTTAGATTTTCAAAAAAACCAAAAATTCCAAAATGGCCGCCGGTTAAAGTTTAAAATGGCCGAAAATTGTCACCTCGGTTTTTTGCTGATGGATTTGCCTAAAACTTGGAATTTGAGAGTATTTTGACATAAGATAAACAAATTTGAACTTAGATTTCTAAAAAAATCAATTTTTTGTCATTTTGAACTGTAACCGGCGGCCATTTTGGAAATTTCGTTTTTTTTAAAATCTAACGTCAAATTCGTTTTTCTCGTGTCAAAATACCCCTACATACCGATTTTCGCGCAAATCCATCGACAAATAACCGGTGTGAATTTTCGGCCATTTTGAACTTTAACCGGCCGCCATTTTGAAACGGTTTGAGATATTGACTTCGGGTTTGCGCGAAAAGTTGTCTTTCTTTATGCTCTTTCGAACGAGCTATCACAAAGGGGGTCTTCCCATTTGAAAATTGAAAGTTGGGGGCCGTTGCCCCCCCCCAAAAGGGGCCCCCTGAAAATTTTAGGGGGGCCAAAGAGTAGCTCCCTTTGACCTAGGAATATCCCCCAAGTTTCAAATCTTTACCTCAATTAGGTAAAAAGTTAGAGGGGGTGGAAGGGACTTTTGGATCACCCTGTATATTAAA